GGTCACAACTACTTCCTCATAGCCCATAGCTCACAAAATAGCTTGCCTATTTTTCAAATGCTTGCCATTCGTTAATGAGTTGTATATTTGTGGTTTTCACTTCCCTTTTTTAAGCAGAACGAGGGCCCTTTTTCCTGAATGCCTTTTAAGAAAAATGTAACTCAGCTCTTTTTCTCTTTCTGGGAACATAGTGTTATCATAAATAGTGACACTGGCGATTTCTATGTCATTTTGCCAGTTGGGTTGTTTGACTTTTAGTCGCGTGCATTGTCGTTCGTTCGTATCGTGAGCTTGCTTGTTCGGTCATGTTTTAATTTATTATGCTTAAACTGTCATAAGCATATAAATCGTTTTTATTATTGCACATAATTATCATTTTAAAAGTTAAATCACGCGACTCCATACATAACCCGATGCCAACAACAAATGCAACAAACAAACGCTAATACCAAGCGGGCCATATGGCGACTATGGCAGGAATGTCCATAATAATAAAAATAGTACAAGACTGTCCAGAGACGTAGAAGGGAAATGTTACTAATGGGAAAGCATTGTTATAATTCAAATTGTATATTTTTTTTTCAATATTTTTGAAATAACGTAAAAAAATAGTAAATTAATTGACATTGCAATTTTTATAGCCTTCACCATGGAAAGGAGGTTATATTAAATTTGTTATTCCATTGTAACAGCTCTGAATATTCGTCGCAGACCCCATAAAGTATATATTTTTTTTGATCAGCATAAAATTCTAAGTCAACTTAGCAATGTCCGTCTGTCTGTCTGTTGAAATCCCGACACAGCCCACATTATTTGATGAAGTGTTTTGAAATTTGTATCTAGGATGATATTGAAAATGAGATGTATCGGTACACGGTCCATATAACGGTAATTCCTAATATTCGAAATATTGATGGATTGTCCAAAAATTGGTATTTGTAGTTCGTAATAGATTCTGACTCCAATGGCGGAACATTATATATATAGGTTCACGCTGTCGTATGGCCTCCATATAACGGTATCACCCTATAAATGGCACTTTGATGATCCTAGTCACATTTACCAACGGAATTACCCGCTTTGGTATGGCGCTAAATATAACAATTCCCATCACGTTTAACTGCATTCTCCAACCGATATATTAAGATGTAATTTCTTCAACACGACCTGCCATCCCAAGAATTAGAGAAGCTGCTCGTCCAATCCCATTAATGCCATTAATCATTAATGCCATCACAAATACAGATGTGAGTCAATTTTTAGATTTTATTCTAAAGCATAATCATATGCGACGTATCAAAATATTTACAGAGAGGAGGTCATTGACCTCACCCTTACTAATAGCAGGAATGAATCACTTATACTAGATTGGAAGGTATCCTCTGAGTGCTCCTTCTTGGATCACCGGAATATTGTTTCAAAGATCTCCACAGAAGGCCTTTAAAGGAACCCAAGGAAAACAGTGATATACCCTTAACCTCAGCCTCAGATACTCTGTAAATGTGATTAGAGCATCATGCTCGAGTGCTATAAGAAATCCTGTCTTCTTACCTATCCAGACAAAAAATGTCAACCACTGTGGTGCTGAAAACATTTAGACAATCTAAGGAAGGAGAGCAGACGATTTTGTAATAGTTCCAACAAGACCAAACAACTTGCGGACTAGGAAGCCAATGATGCCGCCTTTAATAGGTACAACTGTGAAATCAAGAAGGTTATCGTAGGTCGTAATTCTCCTCCACTTGGTCGATAGGAAATATCAATGAAGCCGCCAGATTTAGCAATGTATTTTTAAAGGTTCCCAAATCCAAAGGAAGTATAGCTCGTGAACCAACTCCGTTCTAAAAACTCAGCACTCACTTTCCAAACTGTACACATGCGATAATCGACTGGCAACTCGATCAAAGCGATTACCATTAAACTGATTGATATAATTCTAAGCATTCCAAAAGCCAAGTGTGCCATAAACACTTTCAAACCCTTCAAATCATCTTGAAAATATGCTATTATTCCCGCCGGCAATAGCTACTATTTTGGGGGAAAGACTTTTAGGTCTGTGTCTATCGCACTTTCCAGTACTGTGGTGGGAAGTCATCGTCACCTACGTTGGAAACACATGGTGTTGAAATCAGGGCTTTAATACCTCCGAGTGTACTGCTCAGCATGGCTATATGAAATAGGGTAAGTGTGCCTGAGTTCGGCATGTCCTAGTAGTCGGCACTTTTTATTTTTAAGCCCAAATAAATGAAACTTTTATAACTAAATGTATTTTGTTAACTTCAAATATATTGTCAGCTATCTTTGTGTACAATTTCGCTAAGAAAAGATGATTTATTCTAATAAAAATTAAATTTTTGTCTGTGAAGGTCCTTAACAATCCATATTCTTAAGAAAAGTACAATAAAGACGTCGAATCAGTTTAACTAAACAAAAATATTATATTTTAATGAATTCATTTATTATTATTATTAATTATTCTTACAAAAAAATTGGTATGCCGACTGTTGGAACATGCCATACCGCCAATTGGCAAGTGGTGCCGACCACTGGCAAAAAGCATTGTTTTAATAAAACTACAAATTTATGAAATTTTATAAAAAGTTATTAAAACTTTATTTGCCGACTACTGGTACACTTACCCTACGAATCAATTGAGACAGTGCAGTATGAAAAATTACCTCGGCAGCTTTTCTCGATATCGAGGGAGCCTTTGACAATATCACACTCGAATCCATTTATAACTCCCTCTCGAAACTGATCCTCATAGAATGGATTAATACTATATTTAGCAGCAGAATCATCACTTCACACGATGGTGAGAGCTTCATTAGGAGATCGGTCACCAGGGTACAGCAGTTTTCTATCACCATTATTGATATACTCAAGGATATGGAACAAATGTCGTTTCTCATATTGACGATGTGGTTATGTTGGTTGCAAAGAAGTTCTTGCAAAAAATTGCAGATCTCGTTAAACTATCAAGGTTGGCACGCAGCAATGGCCTAGGCGCAAACCGGTAAAAAACACAGCTCGTCCTCTTCACGAGGAAGCGTAAAAGTCCTGAATACTTGACCACCATCTTAACTTTTTGTTTAATATTGAATTTTTATGGGGAGGTATTAAAAGGAGTGGACCCGTGTGACCTATTTTTGAACCCATCTAAATATTCTTCAACCATCACTGTAATGAGGCACAATTTCAAAACGATTGAGAACTCCTCAAAATACAAAATGTAATGTGGTTCTGAAATATAAACTATACCATAATATGGGAAAAATTTAAAATAATAAAGCAAAGGTTGTTGTACATACATATACTTCGCAGAATTTAAGATGGCTTTAAAATTGAGATTTGAGAGATCTTTATATTTCATTTAGACTTATGTATATCACATCGGTCTATTCTTTGATTTAGCTCCCATATGAGAGTATATCCCGACTTCAATTATTTTTACGTCTTAGCCATCCTTTCCAAATAATTTTGAGAACTTTTCGTATTTGGAGTTCTTAGCAAGTAAAAATCCTCTGTGCAAAATATCATCAGTATTGATCGAGTTTTTTGTATAGACCTCATATGGCAGTTCCCCCTATTTCAGTGATTTCTATGGTCTTGGTCACGTTTTCTAGTTGAATAGAAATTCCGCGTGGTGTCGATTATATTAGGTATGACAAATAAGCTGTTGCACAGTGTTATCAGAAGTAATAGTAGAAATGTTAACCGAATTTGAAGTTTCCTCGTACGATGTTTATTTATCCTATAGGAAGCCTTGAACGTTTAGAATATCCTAAAATGGAACCGTAATATATGGAGATACTATAAATGTTCCAAATTGGCATAGAAAGTCTTGATAATCTCAACAAATTAACGAAATAAATAAATGAAAAGAAAATTTGGTAACAAAAGTCCCTTGATAACATGTTAAAGGTATCAATGCTTATTAATGCGAACGGAGGGGGACACACTTAGAAATCGAATATAGTATTTTACTTATCCAGAAACCCCCTAATGCACCTTCTTCTCCACCACAACTTCATGAAACCTCTTTTTAAATTCAAAACCCCCTCTCCATTAATTCATTACTTGAAGTAAACAATTTAAAATTACCCTCTCTGAAAATCTTATTTTAAATAAATTTCCGCTCCTTTACAACTTTAACCAGAAAAAAACCCCAAAGCATAACGGGGACAATCGCATTGCACTACTGACTCCCATTCAAATCCAGCCAGTGCAACCAGTGGTTGTTAATGGACGCCGTTTTTTCAGCCACTTGCGATGTGGTGGCTAAACTTGCAAAGTGTCGTTATGTTTTCAATGCCATACTGTGTAGAGGGTCGCACTACATCCCGTCCCGTTCCGTTCCCATGTGATTGGCGATTGCAATTTAAAAGTGGCGAGAGAAGCGAGAAACAACTACAACTCGACGCACACAATAATGGCACGCGTTGCATTGCGTTTTGTTTTTATTGAATTTTTATTGTGCACTCGTTAAGATTTATGATGTATTATTTTAGTTATTTGCGACCCCAAGTGGCTGGTTGGCTGGCTGTTTGTCCGTCTGTCTGTCCACTGCAATGACTACGGCTTATTTGGAGTTTGACTTATCCCCCAGCGGAATTTAGCCAGCCACTGACTTGGGGGGCCATTGGCGATTGATATTTTGCCAAGTGCTAATGTATGTGTGTGATGGATGGCGAAGGGAGAATAGAGCGAACTATAATTGTTGCGTGTTGAGGATGAATGCAGTTTTAGTCGCAGATTGACATTGGTTTGTTGAGATTGCCACCATTTAAAGAGCCATTGTCAGCAGATGCATGGTTTTCCATTTATTTTTATTTTTTTGTTTTATATGGTGTATTATATTCTTTGTTTCCAGATGTTGTATTTTTGGGAAAAATTGTATCTATAAAATATGTAGATGACTATCTTGTAGCCAAGAAAATGTATGCGTGTGGATGTGGGTAATAATTGTGTTTTGTTTTTTTCTTTTGGTTTCCTTTCAGAGAGTTTAAAAGACTATTTTAGCCGTTTTGGTGCAATTTCTGAGGCTATGGTTATGAAAGATCCTGCGACGCGAAGGTCGAGGTAAGTGAAAGCTATTAATGATCAAGAAATGCATAAAATTTATATTTTATTTAATTCATAATAGTCAGTAAACGCTTTATTTTAAAATTCAAAATTATTTTTGCCGGAATGCCCATAAAAATGTAGCCACCATTTTTTGGCCAGGAAGTTCTTAAAAAATACCTGAAAAAGTGATTAGAAAGTTATAAATATAAAAAGCATTCACCACCTCTGCACAGGAAACCGTTGAAATATTTTACGAAAAATATGGTATCTTTATGTAGGAAGCCTTTTTTCACTACATATGTCCGGAGCGAATTTTTTTTTAAAGCCAGGGAATCCTTGAAAAATGTTAAAAAATCAAAAGATTCTTGGACGAAATTTTTTAACCCATTTCGCTCTTCTGTTCGATTTTCCAAAAACAATGAAAATAATATAATATAATATTTTTGGACACTTTAAAATAATTTTAAAAAATAACAAAAAAAAAAATGAATAAGGTAATGATAAGGAATTATTACTAATGTATGTAACCGTTACACTAAATATAAATAGCATGGTTTGCATGCACAAAAGTGACTTTAGGTATGTGTAAATTTGACTTTCGAAATTTCGAACACTGGTTTCTGGAAAAACAAAATATCGGTGGGCCAAATTATCCTAAAAAGTATTTTTTTCAAAAACGAAAATAAAAATTAAATCTCTGAACGAAATGGGTTAACAAAAATTATAACACATAATACGCCCTTTTTCGTACAAAAATTTTAGAAAACACGGCTCTTGGCCAGTAATTATTTTAAAAACATTCAAAAACGTTGTAACTAGAAAGTTCCTTAACAAATCAATGATTCATAAGCAGGGAAATCCTTCAAAATATAAAAAAATCCTCGTTTATTGACCTGGAAGTCCTGTTTAAGTCTTTGTACGGCTTTTCAAAAATACAACGATTCATGACTGGGATGTCCTTTAAAATATTTAAAAAAGAAATCAACTGGTTTTGATCAGGAAGTTCTCGAAAATTGACGATTCGAGAACAGCAGTCCTTTAAAATTACGTGTTTTTTGAAGGAAAATAAAATATTTTGTGATCGGGAAGCCGTTTAAAACCATACCCTACACTACTTTGTGTATTTAGTAGGGCTCCCGTAACAAAAAAAAAAATATATATTGGGAATTTATGTGAAGTAGATCATACCAATTATGAAATTTATTTCAACGAATGATCTCTTCAATTTGAGCTAATGTAACATACATTGGGAACAATAACCGTAAAATCGGATATAGATGTATATCGAAGCTACATTAAAATCTGAACCGTACAATTTTGCAGAGGCATTTTCGAGCAGTATCTGATGTCTGGTATCAAATATCATCGATGTGGAGTGCATATTAGGTATGTGAGGGACTTGAAACCCCAAATCGGATGAAACATCTATATGGGATCTATACCCACATCTGAACTGATTTTGAAGTACTTTTCGGATGTGCTGAAACCATATTACATATTTGGCGAACAAAAAATTAAATCGGACGATTAAACAGAAGTTATATCTAAATTTGAAGCGATAATCACAAATTTCAATAGGGTTCGTCCATGGACCAAAGAATTTATTAGAGAAAAGTTTCATTTCAATTAGACAATAAATGCGAACTGTACTTTAAAAAAAAATACAAGGGCAGACGGGCGCACGGATATACATATATTGACTCAGAATCTGATTCTATGCAGATCATCACAAGAAACTATGGGTGTATCTCGCTTCCTTCTCCATTTTACAAACAAATGATACCCTGACCACAGTAGGGTGTAGGGGATAAATATACAATTCGTACCCAGGAAGTCCTACAACATATTAATAAAAAAACATGATTCTTGACCTTAAAATATATACGATTCTAAACCAAAAACTTCCCACTCATCACTAGGAAGTCCTGTAACAAATCAAGGATTTATGACCAGAAATTTCTTCAAAATATTTATTTAAAATTCATTATTCTTGATCAAGAAGTGCTTTAAAAATCGTTGATTCGTTACCATGAAGATCCTTCAAAATTTTAACAATTCAGGAAATCAACGATTCGTGGCCGGGGTGTCCTTAAAAACATGTTTAAAAATTATTCGATTCTTGATGATCCTGGTCATCAAAAATCTTATAAAAAATATAAGATTTTTAACCAGGAATTCCAGTAAAATATTGAAGGGAAGTACAGATGTTGATCAGGAGGTCCTTTTATTTCGAGGATTCACGAACTCGAAGTCCTAAAAATATTTCAAAAACCAGGGCTTATTTTTTATTTCATGATAATTATGATTTATCGGAAGTGTGGATGTTTTAATTGACCCTGTCGATTCTATGTTTTCTTTATAATTTTGAGAAATTTGGATGCTCACAGAAATAGTGGCTCAATAATCGCTAGGTGTTATTTGATAAGGAAGGAAATATTGAGATATGCGAAGTTTCAGTGAAGCCGGACACTGATTTCAAATTTTATTAGATTTACAGCTTTTCAAAATTTGAAACTTTTATGGAGGAGGGGATTAGGGATTAGGGGATTTTCATGCAGCATAATGCTTTAGTGTATTTCTGCCACACTCACATAGGAATATATCGAGTACCTCATTCTCATTATAGGAGGTTTAGGAAATTTAAAAACACTAAAGCTCGATCTAGGTTGGTAAAAAATACTATCAATTCTGATAGTTCTTTTGAGAGTCTAAACCAAATTTTATTTTATCTTGAATTTGTTGCGGATTTATTAACTGTTTTATATTTACACTTAAATATTTGCATTTGTGATTCCTCCCATCCCATCAATTTATTGATGTGACGCATTGAAGCATTTCACTGCATCGTCATTCGCATTCGTACCTCCCTCCTCAATTCAGCAGCTCCTCCAACCAGCTGTTGCATTCTCTCCGTTCCTTTTTTGCTTTTTTAATTTGAAATATTTCGTTAGCACAATATTTTATTACGCTTAATATTGCTGGCACTTTTGAATGTGTGATGCGATGCTACGCCAAGACGACGACTGTTAAGCATTTCCCTTGATATCGGATGAAAAGCATTTTCACATTGTTTTTCCATTCTTATGATACTTTTACTTCGTTAGGTGATTTATAACCATACTTTGGTACATTTTGATCTTTTCGTGTATTTCAACATTTAAGACAGTGAAGCCGTGTCAGTGGGAGCGACAGAGAGCGCGAGAGGGATGGTGACCTGGTGAATGAATAAATAAATGAATGAACGAACGAACGAACGAACGTGCAAATATAAAGGTGTGCGAGCTTTTGTCCCGAAGCCCGGGAACGTGAACCAACCCCAGACACCTGGGAAGGCCAAGACCTTTTTTCCTTCGCCTTTGTCAAGTGGCGAATAGGTGATGCCGAAGATGTACAGAATGTTAAAGTGTACATAAAGTTTTGTTTGAATTTTATTTGAAAGTTTTCTAATTTGTTATTTGTTTCCAGTATCTTCGTTACTCGTCGGTGCCATCAGCTGGCCAGGGGCAGAAGAAATGAGAATTGTTGCTTTTTTGGGGGGCGCCTTTGCTCACCTCGGCTCATCTCCATTCCTGGGTGTAATTTGTGTAACTGTCGTTGCTGTACAATTTATTCCTCGGAGAGATTTGGGTGTGTGTGTATGTGTTGTTGCATCATTTTCTCTTCAGCAAATTTGTTGCCATTGCTGGTGATTTTGATGCGGCTGATGTTAGTGTTAGTGTTGTTGTTATTGTTAAAACATTTATTACTTTGCTCAAGTTTAAGTGAAAAATTTCCATAAACATTCTTTTAAGCGACATCAAGTTTCTCTTATTAAATTGTACTGCAGCGCAATCATTTTGTCCCAACCAACGCACACTGCGGACCATTCACACACACACGCACGCACACACTCATATACCCAGAATTTGGCTTAGTGTTACAATCTTATAGCATACTTAAGGGGGCTATCATTGATTTTTGCCACCACACTTCCGTCTCATTGCCCTGTTCACTGCCTGCAGTTGTTCTGCCGTTTGTCTTTTGTGGAGATTTGGTTCCTTTTGTCTTGCAACGCAGTTATTGTTTTCTTTACACACCTTTTGACTGAAATAGCTGTGTTGTGATGACATTCTATGGAAGATTTTTTTTGTTATTGTTTTCATTGTCGTTCGTATTTCTTTTTTTCTTATTTTCGTGCACGGCTTCTTGTCATGTCTCAACATTTCGTCGCACTTGTAAAACTCTTAAATCGCTGTAAAACGACAATGTAACTTCATAAAAATTTTTCATCGTTTTACGGTATTAACCCGAACACCTTTGCGCGGCACATAATAGTGTTGGTATGATCTATGCGACGTGAGTTGTAAAAGTGTGAGTGTTTCGTTTTCTGTGATGTGATGTGATTTCATTGAATAATGGAGGATTCTTCGGATTGCAACAATATCAAATGAATAGCTAAGTTTATAGTCTAAACAAATGTAAAATTGGTTTAATGAGTATTTCGATGGGGGGTTATGACGAACAATGTGTGCAGTCAATAAAAGGACATGTTGACGTTGCTTCATGCATGGATTCATGGAATCCATAGGATATTCATGGATAACTTAAAATATTCATGAGCCCATGAAAAAATCAAGAATATGTTCTTAAGTTCTTATCATATGATTTATAATCTACATAAATGTTTGCCTGTTGTCCACAGGTTGGCCTAGGACTAAAATCAAATATCGTCACTCAATTTAATTTTTAAAAAGTAAGGCCTTACTTCTTCTTCAGTTCCTTGACCATAATGTTATGTTTGAAAACTAAAAGCTGATACCTTGGTCAGTATTGAAGCCTACGAATCTCAGGGGACGAAATATTAACAACGCTGAAAACAAATATTTTAAGGGAATGAGACGGTATGCAATATGAAGTCGAAGCCTATTGTAGTAATTTTGTTATAGTAGTAATTTTGTTACCCAACCAAGCAGGCCTTTGTTGATTCCCTCAGCCCTTCAATTACAGAAATAATATCTGTGTGTGGTACCTACCTA